CATCAAAATCTGTTGACTCCTTGAAGATATGACCAGTAATGTCCTTCAAGTTTTCAGATAAACCATTCCAGAACATGTTTCGCAGCATCTGATCTGTGTTGGTTGGAATGATTTTATCATTCTGGATGACTTTATTTAGGAGATCTTCTAATCGACAACTCCACTCTGACACATCTTCATTATCTCTTTGAGCTGCACTGTAGAACTGAGAAAGCAGGTTTTCATTGTCATCTACAGTTCCATAAACACTTTCAAATCTGTGCATTATTTCCTCTAATGATGCATCAGGTCCAAGTCTCATAAGCACTCTGGCTGCATTTCCACGCAATGACCTCCTCATGCTCTGCAGAAGTATGGCTGGTTTTACATCACTCTTCTTTAAACACTCTACTTCGTACCGCCATAAATCATATGAGGTGTCACTTTTCTTATCTCCAGAGAAGGCTGGGAGTTTTGGAAGATGAGATGAAATGGTCGCAAATTCCGGTGAACTATTGCTTGCACCTGAAGTTGTGTCTCCTTGAGATAATCTTGGTGCTGTCCAGTGTGTATAACTTGTCATCCAAACTTTTAGTTCCTTGGCAGACTTTGCCTTAGGTTTTACTCCTAACTCCTTGAAAGCTTTTGCTAGTTGTTGAAGTTCCTCAGAAGACATATCTTCTGTTGTTTCTGGATCTACACTCATGATGATGATTGAGTTGTGAGATTATCTCTAATTTCTGAGTACTTCACTTAACTAAATGTATACTTACTATCTATATTACACTAGTACTATATTACTGTCTATTGCTAGCTAACTACTCCTAATCTAATCTTAAGTTAATTGAACTACATGCTGATCATCAATATTTCAAATAATTTCTGAAATGAAGAGATAATGAGAGGCTGAAAAAAAAAACTGATTAAATTTTTAATTCCCTGAAAAAAAATAATAATTAACAGATTCTGAAATATATACTACTACCAGCAGTTTATAAACTATTTTTCAAATGCTATTTAAGAAGACAAAATTATACTGAATAAATGAACTAAATAACTTAAATAAACTTGACTTCAATAAATAATCTAACTTGTACTCTATAAATTGACTGTAAGTTCAACTAATCAATATCTAGTACTTAAAGAAATACTCTAAGTCTAAATCTAAATTAACTAAACTAAGTCTAATTAAAGCTAACTTAAAAAAAAAATAAAAATGACGCGTAATTCAAGAAAAGAAGAAACCGAAGCGCTGAGTTACAGAAAAAGAAACCGACACGTTGACCTATTGGTCAATGAACCTGAAAAAAAAATTAATATATATATCACCAAATTAATCAACACATGATTTCAGAATGTTTGTTCAACAAGTGAAGGGAAATACCAATACTATATTGGAGTATAATGACAACAGACAATATGCCTCAGAAAAGCTCACTTGAAAATTTCAATCTACAAGAAGTGGAATATTTCTTACACCTTTACCTGTAGTCGCTTATAGCCTAGTTACATGTATAATTCAGCAGTAAACTGACAAATCAGCAAGTCTGTATAAGACTGAAAACTCAAATGCAGTTGTAATATAAAATTACTTCTTACTAATTGATGATGATGAAATGAATGATGTGTTGTCGCTGCAAGCAAAGCGCAGTGTAAGTAAACATAAATATCTAAATGGGGAATTGAATTGAATATTGACCTACATTTTACTTGTAAGCTGAAATGAAGAATTTATCTTGATATTAAATTATTACCAAATGCAAGATGGTCAGGTCGCTTCCAAGAAATGAATAAACGAACCAAATACAAAACACCAGCAACTCTAGTTTATGAATACCAGCTGAAAATAAACCAACAACTCCTTTTGCTAAAACGTGGTATTGTTTACCGGATGTTGTTATCTGGATGTCAAGGTCAATGGAACTGGTTTAGTTTAATTTAGAAAATACCTTCCGGATATTTCCGGATGTGCTTTTAGCGCGTTATTTAGTAAACTTTTAAGTTTTAAGCACACTCAAATGTCTCTTTTTCACTGACTATGTAAATACTAAATGACGCAAAAATATGAATTCATACAGAATAAACAAAACAAAATGAGATGACCTACTGTACAAAATAGAACAGCTGATATCGATCACGTGATCAAAAATTTAGGCCAAGTCTAAATATAGTTTTTGCATTCACAGAACATGAGAAACTAATGGTAAAACAATCTTACCGTTCCATGCATGGTAGTAAATAGTCCAAATACACAAATACAACACAACACAATTTCACAAATATAGTGTCACAAAGCACAACACAAACACAGCACATCACAAACACAAATAGACATGTACATGGCACTTGCGCAATCCCTGGAAAGATACTTCCGGTGACGTCACAAAGCGCGGAATACGAATGATGAATAGGAATTGAAGTTCAAGTTAGTGCACCTCTGGAGCGCGTGGGAAAAACCACCAGTTCTTATCTCCAATTCACGTTGGGCGCCATTTTTGTAACCGGTTCTTGTAGAAATTAAAAAATGACTGCAAGATGGTATATAGGGTTGGATTCTTAGTATTTATTCCGTGGAGATATATAGTTGATTTCAAGATGAATTAAATGTTTTAAATCAACCCTAAAATAACAATAACAACATATAAATACATAGACAACATATAAACAAGCACATTCACTTTACAACACAAAACGATCACAATTTAAACACATAAAACATTTATTTTGGCCATTACTTTACACTTTATACAGACGCATTCAAAGGGCGATAACTCTTTGAAACTCTTACTGAATTAATGATGTAAATTATATTTCTCTATACTGAAATATTTACAATACTTTAAAAATATGAGTTTAACATACCAGTGTATGGAACTGAGTGATTTATCTCTTGATCAGGATGACTTTAAAGAGTTATTACATGATGACCTAATGGATCAATAAATTATAAAATCATAATAGTTCAAACCCAGATCTTAATCCAAAGATCTACATGAATTAGATTAAAACATATAACTTGCTCTTACTTTACAATATCAATCTTAACTTTAATAACTTTAGAACTTTCACTCTGGCACATTCATACTCATTTAGCAAGTTTATATTAAAATACTTTATTTTCATTCATTATCTTTAATTTTAGTTTATAATCATTAGATGTGTTTATAAAGGGTTTACTTACAGTTTATGGGTGTTTAATATACTCCAAAATATCAAATATTAAATTTTAAGCAATCACAAATCTCTAGCTACACCCTTCTCAGACAGTATCTTTGAATGGAATATTAAAACAAAGGTTTCCCGCCTGAATGGACAACTTTGACCAAACAATACCAACTGACCAATAGAATGTAGGAAAACAGACAATACCCTTATTTATAAATGGACTAATCCTTATATCTACCTTAACCCATAGTCTTTGGGTTAAACCATTATTTAAATAGGGATGTTTATGATTTAAACATATAAATAAATAATATATTATTAATGCAGGCGCAGCGCTTGGATAGATGTATGGATGAATGAATGAATGATATTCCTGAAATAAAATATATAGCATTAATTAAAATAAAATAAAACTAAGTACAACTACCACATTATTATTATTCATTTATTTATAATTTATGAAATTGGGTATTAGAAATTAACTTTAGCTTTATTCGAACTTCGGGGGTCCTGTAAATCTAGCAAGTGACGTGCAACTGTTACGAATTGGGCATTCTCCACTATCATCTATGGTTATGAACAAGTAAACAAATGACAAGTTATTTCTTGTGGAATGAGTCATTAAAATAATGATTGGATGAATAACATATATACTGATGTTTTATTTTCATTTAGTAATTTTTATTATTAATGAAAGCCAGTACCTTTAAAAAGAAAATGTCGTATAGTGTACATCCCATTCCGAATTTCCTGAAATTGATATTATAACTCCTGACATTATTATTATTAACAGATGCATGGTGCATTGTACTGAATTTTACTGAGAAATTAGCATAACTGTTTGTCCCTATACAAATAGTTGTTTGCTATAACCTCTGGTATTTCATATTTTATACTCACTAGTGAAGAAATCACTGATTCAATCTTTTAACTAAGACCTGAAGGTATATAAGTCTATTTGTGTTTACTAAAGGGTTTGTTTAAGGGTTGTGTAAGAATTAACATTCGGTGGAAAGGGTGGTTGGTTTATTTTTATTTCAGATGCAGAGAGCCAAAGAAAAGTTTTGTGTATATTTATTTGAATAAAATCTAATAAAATAATAAAAACAATTTATATCCTGTTGTCTTTCGTACAACATTCAGATTAAGGAGCCCCACAATGTTACGCTGCTAAACATAGGCAGGCGTAAGTCGTAAAACAACGATATATGTAAATATATACTGTTGTTGATTTTGTTATCTATAATAAATTTTTGAATAACAGAATATAATTTTTGAAAACTTTATTATCTTTTGTTGATTTCTTTCGTAAAAACCGCTACCAGGTTTATTCATAATTATATTCGCTACCAGAAATTATGAGACCGGATCTTAGCCGCAAACAAACTTAACCATACCATATTTAGTAATTATTATATTTATCCTATCTTACGAACTCATAACGGCGAAAACTTTACACTACTATACACGTCAGCCAAGAGTTACTGTTGTGTATTCGGGTATAAAGAATGCGAAGGGTACATATATCCTAGTGCTTATGTCGGAGAGGCGTATGGCCTTTTTTAATTCTGTTCAGCTTTAAAATTTGTTAATGGCTTAATTACAGTTGTATGTTATGCATTGTAATGGTATATGACAAAGACATTCTCAATCATAAATACTTGTCTAAAATAAAACAGAAAAGAATAAAGTGGTCCATATGTAGAGTTTATGAATAAAATTACAATTTTTCTAATTTTCTAAATGATTTCCATTAGTTTTCAAAAATGTATTCCATGAACTCAATCACGTAATGAATCCTTTGTTCGTTACTTTCCTCTGGTGACAAGAATTTCTGAATCAAACTCTTCTTCTAATTAATTCTTTTTTAACATATATCTGATTTTCTTCACTTTACCATTGCAACACTCAACAACAAAGAGATTGTCTCTAGTGTCTATACATAAATCCCATGGAAGCTTTACAACACCATTATCAATGCAACTGAGGAACTCTCCATCCTGGTCCAGGATGTGGATACAGTTGTTGTCACAGTCTGCTGTCAGGATCTGACTCTGATTGTCTGTTGTGATGCCGACTGGACCAAATGATCCCTTAGTAGTAGAGGGAGGACCATCATATCCAAATCGGAGTTTTCCTGCCTGATTGACCACCACATCTGCCTTTGCTGTATTGTCAGCAACACAGATATCCAGGTTTCTGTTCTCACTAATGCATTTACAGTACCCTAGTGAGAACAGAGATTTATGGTTTGTATCTTTGTAGAGGCAGAGTAACGGACAACTTTAGCTTGTTCTCCATCTTCACTGACCATGGAAACCAAGATGTCACCAGAGGAGGTAATACAGACATTATAAGGTATCCACCATTGTAGTCTGATCACTTCCAGTATCTGTTCATTCTTCACTATGTTCACAGTTCTTGTATCAGGGTCAGAATAAACAAGATCTCCCTTCCTTGTCACCGCTATGTCACGTGGTGTCTTTCCTGACTGGGTTCTGATTGATTTAAGTAGTTTGCCCTGGAGGTTGTAGAGTTTCATGACTTTGTCAGCTCCACCTGTCCAGATTTCATCATCACTGAGACAGGTAACACTATGTAGTAAGTATTCATTCCAAGTGTCTATACTGGTGATCAGCTCTGGTTCTTCAAGCAGTGGTTTCAATGGAGGACAGGATACAGCTTCTGTCTTCATTGTGTGGCCATGATCTTCTGTTGAAATCGATCATGGCGATGAAGAACCAAATAAATGAGAAAATTGATCTTGATTAATATTTTCAGTAAACACCGGAATCTCAACTTTCGGATGGGAAGGAAGTTTGGTGAATTTTTCTGATTTTATCTCATATGAAAGTGATTTGGAAACTTCCTTGGATTGTAAAATGTCCTCAATTTTTGGAAAATAGAGTTTGACGCCAGTAATGAGTTTCTTTGTATCGTCTAGATTTTTATTCAGTGTGTCCCTGTGTTGGATTTTCATCTCATTAATTTCGTCTTTGTTTTTCTGTATAGCAATGTCAACTTTTCTTTGCCATTCCTCTCCATGTTGTGTGACCTTCGATGTAAGTTTTTCATATTTTCCGTCTATTTCATCTATCTGAGTTTCTATTTCAGTAACTGTTTCCTTCAACTTTGAATAAACCGTTTCCTGCAATCTTTTTCTTTCCTTTTCAATGCTTTCATTCTTTGCGTATACTAAATCCTGTAAGCTTTTAATATGATGTCTTTTATGTTTCTCAGACATAACACATTTGGGACACGTTGGGATGTTGCAATCATCACAATGCATTTCGCAATTCTCTTCAGAATGGGTTTGGCACTGAGGGTACACAAGTCTGGATCTTCTCAAATCAAAAGGCACCACATCATGCTTTTTAGAGGTATCAAAGACATGCTTTCCAACACAATCCATGCACAAATTCATTGGACACAAATTACAGAACATTTGTACAACACTGTTTTCACAGATATTGCATCGAATGATTTCCTGGGCACGATTTTCTGGATCCATTTTGTAAATTTTGGCTTTGAATCTGTTGCATAATATGTAAATGTATTAGTAAAAGGACTATAGAAATTCACCAAAAACTGAGAAGTATATAAGGTATACAAGTTAGAAAAAAAAATAAGAAAGAACATTGTACAGTATAAATATGTAATGTAATTTTACCTGCTTTAACAGTGGAACTCCTCGCAATTGAAAATAAAACAACAATTTAATCTTATCATCATTATTATCTATCTTAAATATAAAATTATACCAGTGATTTAATTAATCATTGTACAAGGTTTATAGGGACACTGTGTACTTTGAAGTTGGTGTCAACTCAATTGTGAATTGATAAAAAATGATATTGCACTTTTTAACATTTCAAACTGTTAATATCGATACATTATTACTGTATTGACATCAGCTTTAAATATAGGATACCCGGTTCCCATAATCAGAAGACCACACAAAAATTTTATGAAAGTGGCAAAAACATTGTCATACTGTATGTGTAATATAAAAAAAAGCGTGCTTCATGTTTTAGAGCTTTTGCTGCAGACAATGTCACGCCAATTCATGATTACCGTTAATAAATGAATACAATATACGATCTTTGTCAAATCATGCGTCCGACTATATCCAATCGGCCATTTTTAGGAGTTCAAAATCGATCCCGATTCATGTAGCTTATATTCACCTTAATACATGTGTATGATTCTACATTGTATGTAATATTAAATTTGTTTTAAATTCAATTCAAAAAATGAAAATTGTTATTTATAAAACAAATCCACCTATCATTTACCTTGCAATGTAGTAGCTACAAAACGCTAGTAAAACGTAGTAAAAACATGATTCATCCTTCTTCATTAAATGTTCGTAACATACGGTAAATACAAAAATATATTGCTTGGTCGCCTTTTAAAAAAGATAGAGAATTTAAAAAAAAAAATGGAAACTTGGATTCATTGCAGAAATATATAATTGCTGCTTGTGTACACATCGTGCCTTGATTTTCTCACGAATTTCATCAAAAGTTAGACAACTCTTACGATCAACTGCACGTGACACCTGTAAACAATGTATAATACACTTCCGATGTTAACTTACTTAGATAAATAACACTTTGAGTGATAACGAGCCTTTTTTGTCGTGATTGCTTTAATTAAGGTTGCTAAAATTGCCAATCGATTTCATCTTACCCAATGCTAAATTCGACGAAGTGGACAAGCTTTATTAAACAGTGATATTTATACCCGAATGCTTGAAATATTCGTATAGATTATCTTCAAAAAATTAAAAAAAAAATAAATAAATAAATAAAACCCTTTTTCTATTTATTTAAGCGGTGCATTAGTAGCGCTAAATCATGATTACACTGACCACTCAAAACCTGGTGACTACGCTAAATTTTGAATACGTCAATTTAAGAAGACGTACAGTACTATATCAATGTACATGTATCTTATTTTAGTTGAATGTTAAGAAATGTATTTTAAATTCCAAGTTTGAACCAGTTATTCCTTGTTGTTACATGATTTATTTTTATGCAGTTTTGATTAAAGAGTTGTGAGCTACATCCGATGTTTCACCTTGTGTTCTTTGTTAATGTACAAAAGGAAATTTATGTAATCCAGTTGAATCGTAGCCCACTTTTTTATGGAAAATAATATTGATAGTATTAATTGTATAGCAAAGTAAGATAAAATATTAAATTTTGTTATACAGTTGAACTTCGGTATCTCGAACACGGATATCTCGAGTATCATGGATATGTCGAAGTGATTATTTTGACGTCCAAAGCGCTTACTTCTTAGATGTTTTACCCTGGATATCTCGAAAAATTTTCTTGGTCCCTTGAAGTTCGAGATATCATTCGAAAAGTGCTTAAGCAATTTAATATCTACCCTAGAAAGAACACTGGAAGAGCTGGACATTGACCGATTCCAGGTACAAAAAGTCATGCAATGTGGAGAACTTATTGGAGAGGATCAGAAAGTTCTCTTTCTCTTTGATCCTAGAATGCAACACCTTCCTCTGGGGTTCCTGTCAGAATCATTAGCTCCTGGCTAGAAATCAGACATCACAGGTATGGATAATAATGAGATTGTAAGAAATATTTATCATAAAATCGCACTTCATCTGGTACACAGGCCTTTAGATCGTTTTAATCTGACTGACAAAACGGGGTATAAAAAAAATTAAGCTGGGAAGCTCCTCAGAGTACTCACTTTCGCTAATAAAATACTGAAGAATCAAATGATTTAAAACTATACTTTCTATTCTTATCTATTTATATATAATCCGTCTACATTACTACCTGCTGATGGTTGCTGAATTATAAAGAAAATGTAAATTATGTTATAATAGAGGGATAATTTTACTTATACTCCGACCAAAGAACATATTATAGTACCTAACCCATGACTTCATAATTGTTGATCAAATATTGGCCGAGTGAAAAGGAAACATAACGAGAATCCATGTAAACAAATGTATAAAATGGTTCAAAAGCATATACTGTGAATATTGTGTATGAATTACAAGGAAATAAAGATTAAGAATCAGGTACGCTGATTTCTTTCTATCACTTTCCTGTTATATATAAGGCAGACAACGATTTGAAATCCCGATCAGCCTTTCCTCTGTCGTTTTTAACAACAAAGATGGTAATATGGGGGCGCAATTGGTACCCATGAGAATTGCAACAGGTTGTTGGAAGACCTGACCCCAAGATCATAAACTGCGAACAGACTTAAGTCAAAATTTTGATCTTTAATATCTTGAGTTTTATTTCATGCTTTTGCTTAAAAATTGCAATTTTGTATAACATTTTAATTCAAACATATACATGTATTGAAAATTATGTCTGATCATCTAAATTATTTCAAAAGTTATATTGGTTTGAAATTTTGACCTAAGTCTGTTCTCAGTTTATGGTCTTGGAGCCTGATCTCCAAAAACTACATACTAGATATTGTCATTCAAAATAATTTTGCAAATGACCAATGAAAATGTAAGTATATCATGAGTTCCATTTTTATTGAAAAAGAAGCTGTATATGATATCAAAAAGCCTGGACTTTAATTTATCGTAAGGAATGATTGTATAAAGTGTTGAAAAGTCGTACGTTTTGATGTTATTGATTTTGGCAAAATTTTGTGACATTAAACTTTCCAAAGGTTCCTTGGAGTTTTAGAAGTTTCCACATCTGATTTACACCACTTCTCGGAAATACGGTTGTACAACACTCCTGAAGTTTCTCATTAACCGCTGTAAATATTTTAGTGAGGAGTAAAGAAAGAGGCTCAGTAGAACATTTAATGGAACCCGCTATGTATCGTTGTTTGTAATGATTTTTATGGAGTTTTGGAATCCAGTATAGGTATGCTATTTCAAATTCATTTTGATTGTTGGAAATCTTTGAAATGTTTAAAACTGACATATGGTTTAGAAGAATTTTTCCTTAGAAAGGGAGCTATGGGTACAAGTTGGATTATCATGTAATTGAATCAAATATGTCTCTGGACAACTTTTGTATTGTTTTTCGATGAATTACTTGTAAACATTTTTCGTATGAAATGAATATTTGTTTCAACAAATTAGTTTTTCATATACATGTAGTCAAAATGGATTTTGTTTTCTGCATTAGATACATCATTCGTCTACTAAAGAAGCGGATCCAGCAAAATAAGGATGTTATATGTATTAGAAATATTAATGGGAAACACATTAGGAATAGGAGGATGGTTTTCCAGATGTCATTTGTGAGACATTGCTTTGCAGCTGCTTGGGTTTCATTGATCTTCGTATCTTTTTAATGCATGTGATAACCTGATGTTATTTGCTTCATTGTCACACATATCTGTAGATACAATGATTGCCCTACAATATATTTAAACTTTAATAAATTACGGTTTTTTGTACACACCTGTAAGAGGTAATTCACCACTTATAAACATGTTCACCACTTATAAACAATGGCTCCGAACAAAATACATCGTCCATGTAGACGGTGAAAAATAAAATACTCTTTGGAAGGCATAAGACAATGTAGCCACGCGTTTTACATGACATATCATTAAAATGATGCCACGCCTATTTCACGGTATATCCTTAATCCTTAAAATGTCACACCTATTTCATGTGGCATTCTCACAATGTAGCCATGCCTACTTTGCTGAATATCCTCCATCTACGGGGATAACTGTTCCCGTCATGTTGTCTGCAGCTGGTGAGCAAAGGAAAGTTACTAATTCAGCAACCTGTGAAAAAAAAATTAAAAACTTAGGAACATAGGAAATCAACATCATAGGCAGTAATCAGCACCTAGCTAATTAACTGAAAATGAAAAAAAAATGCCATAATTCACAACCTGTCTAATGTATTACGAAAAATATCGCATGCCAAAAAATCGTATACAGCAAAACAGCAAAAAAATACTTTGGCTCTCGGGGGTATGTAGATATGCACATGTTTATGCTGCCAGGCAAGCCATTTGATCTCGTATAGACAAAGCAACATCATTTTTTTGGTGATTAAATCATCAGAAAAATATGCATTTTATTTTGAACAATATAGAAAATCGATCTAATACCACAAAGAATGTTAATAAACATATACCTTCGATGGAATGTGAAGATGAAAACAGTGATCATGCACAAAAGTTGAATTCCAGAAAACAAATTGAGATCAAAGAAAAGAAAGATCTCTGAAAAAATAGAGCTGGTATCAGGTGCCTTGGAGGAGTAAGCTTTCCCAGTGGACCGGACAACCGGCCCCGAGACCATGTTGTAGTCCATAGCCACTCCATACCCACTCAGTATGAAAAAAAATGTTCTAGCAATTTAAATTTAATACATCAGTCAACTTTCGACCTGACCATAGGCTATAATTGCAACACAGTCTTTGCATCAACCATATTACTTGCGAAATATTGACTTTAAACGACAATTTCAAACCCTTATAGTATCAACTTATTTGAGAGTAGCTTGCCCCAGTTTTGTAGTTGTTCATAGCAG